GTGATCCGCCCGTCTCGGCCTCCCAAAGTGCTGGGATTACAGGCCCAGTTTTTTAAAAAAAATTTTGTAGAGATGAGGTCCCACTATATTGCCCAGGCTGGTCTGGAGCTTTTGGGCTCAAGTGATCCTCCTGCCTCAGTCTTCCAAAGTGCTGAGATTACAGGCATGAGCCACCACACCCAGCTCCTTGCCACCATCTTGGTGCCAATCAAAATAGTCCTGAATAAATCTGACTTACTGTTTTAACAAGTCAGATTTTTTTCTTTAATAAGCGCAGTAGAAGAGGTGAACTGAAGAGGAGGGACTGCAGTCATTGATGAAGACAAGGTCCAAGGCAAAACCACAGAGTAACAGGGTAAGGTGGAGGTTGAGATTTACAGAAACAGAGTTCAGTGACGGACAGGCCAGGGTATGCAAGGGAGTGCTTATAACTGACCCTGAAAACTTTTTTTTTTTTTTTTTTGAGACAGAGTCTCTTTCTGTCGCCCTGGCTGGAGTGCAGTGGTGCAATCTCAGCTCACTGCAACCTCTGCCTCCCAGGTTCAAGCGAACCTCCTGCCTCAGCCTCCTGAGTAGCTGGGACTGTAGGCGCACGCTTCAGTTCAGAAGTTCCAGAGAAGCCTGGGCAACATGGCAAAACCCGGTCTCTACTAAATATTTAAAAATTAGCCAGGCGTGGTGGTGTGTGTCTGTGTAGCTCCAGGCACTCAGGAGGCTGAGGCAGGATGCTTGAGCCGGAAAGGCTGAGGTTGCAGTGAGCCGAGATCGCGCCACTGCACTCCTGCCTGTGCAATAATCCCTGGATTCAAAAAAAAAAAAAAAAAAAAGAAATGAAAAGAAATATATCTGAAACTCTCCAAGCTTCAATTTGCTAATCTGAAAAATTGAAATAGCGGTACCAACCTCACAGAGTGGCTAATTTAATACAGTGCTATTTGCAAGGGATAATTTATCGAACCTTTAGGCGTTGTTCTAGAGTACCTATTAGGTCACTGAACTCACAACCTTAGGAGGGAGTTTCGAGTTTATGCCCATTTTACACGAGGACGCGTTGGCAGGCGATACTGCTGTTCATGGGATCTGTAAAGAGTGAAAAAGGAGTCTCAGCTCTCAGTAGAGTTCACAGGCTCTAGGGTTTCTGCTGGAGGTGAGAACACTGTGCAGGGAGGCACGAAAGCGGGCATCAGATGGTGCAAAGCGACGCTGGGCCCAGCTCGGCGGCCAATGGCTCCCTCCGGTGGCCGAAGCGAAGAGCGCAGCTGGATCGGGCGCGAAGAGAGGATCCCCGCAGCCTGTCAGGGGCAAGGCTGGAACCCGGTGGAGGTTCTAGGGCTTTGAAAGGTTGGAGGACTAGGACTCCAGAAGTCCCCGAACGAAGCGGGCCGGAGTTCCAGGTGACGCACCTGGCTCAGGTGTCGCAGCCCCGCCCACCTCCCTGCCGCCTTCCGCCGTCCTCACACGCCCCCTTTAGAAGGGTGGCTGCTCCCGACGCCTCGGAGCTCGGACTGGGGTCCGGTCCCCGCGGCCACGATTGTTTGCACCTAAGTGATGGAGGCTCCGAGACCCGCGGCCCACGCCCTGCCGGGGAAGCTTGTCTGCAGGGCTGCGTTGCAACCCCGGGCGCACGTGGAGCTGGAGCCGCGCAGGCTGGGGGAGCGCACAGAGGGTCGGGCTTCCCCGGGCGCGCCCACGGGGCGGGGCCGAGGACGGGGACCAATGGCGCGCGCGTGCTGGTGGGGGTGGGGACAGGCTCCGGGCCTGGCATCCCGGTAGCCGCAGCTGTCTTTTCCGGCCCCCGTGCGCTCTCCGCCCGAGGCGGAGCCCCCCGGCTCGCGGGGATCCCCCGAGCGCTGCGTCCTACGGGTGGGTGAGTGAGTGCCCCGCGGTCCCCGAGATGTGGGGTGCATCTGGCCGGGGAGAAGGAGATCTTGGCTCCTTTGCACCCCAGCGGGCGCAAAGGGGCAGGAGCCCGGGTTGGGGGAGGAGGAGGAGGACCCGGGGACCTTGTGTCGCTCGGTGGGAGCCTGTCTGTGTTTCTGTTTTGCTAGTCGAGGGGTGTGTTTGGGTTGGTAGAGTTTGTAGGGGGGGTGCCTCGTGTGGATAGGAGGAATCTGGGGAGGCTAAGGCGAGGGGGTGGTATTGAGATGGGTTGAGGGAGAGGATTGACGGAGGGTGGGGTTTTGAAAGAGTTGGAAGTTTCTTGGGTGCGGTGATTGCATGGGGGGTCTCGGTAGGGGCAGCTCAGGACACCGAAGGAGAGGATGGCGAAGGCTCTCCTGCCCACAACTTACTTCCCTTTTGGGAGATTTGCTTCCTCTTGCATTGCTAGTTAAGGAAGGAGAGGCTGGAGAAGCCTGTGCCGTCAGAGAACCTTTGCCCCTTTGCAGAACCGGTGCCATCCCTAGTCTCAGGAACATAGGGGAAGGGGTGGCCCCCAGGAGCCGGGAGTGGCCCTGAAACCCTTGCTGACAGGTTTGGGGTACCACTTTTTTTGTGGAGCAGTGGCTGGTACCATTTGCAGCCCCATGGGCTCTTTCTAGTTGCTGGTAAGCAGGGTGTGGGTGCGTTCCTGTTTCCTTGTGGTTGTGTCTTTTTTTGTTTTTTTCTTGAGACAGGGTCTCGCTCTGTCACCCAGGCTGGAGTGCAGTGGCGCGATCTCGGCTCGCTACAGCCCTAAGCCTCCAGGACTCAGGCGATTCTTGTGCCTCAGCCTCCCAAGTAGCTGTGATTACAGGCATGCACCTGCATGCCTGGCTAATTTTTTTTGTTTGTTTGAGACAGTCTCACTCTGTCGCCCAGGCTGGAGTGCAGCGGTGCGATGTTGGCTCACTGCAACCTCTGCCTCCTGGGTTCAAGCAATTCTCCTGCCTCAGCCTCCCAAGTAGCTGTGATTACAGGCATGCACCTGCATGCCTGGCTAATTTTTTTTGTTTGTTTGAGACAGTCTCACTCTGTCGCCCAGGCTGGAGTGCAGCGGTGCGATGTTGGCTCACTGCAACCTCTGCCTCCTGGGTTCAAGCAATTCTCCTGCCTCAGCCTCCCAAGTAGCTGGGACTATAGGCATGAGCCACCACGCCTGGCTAATTTTTGTATTTGTAGTAGAGACGGGGTTTCACCATGTTGACCAGGGTGGTCTCGAACTCCTGACCTCAGGTGATCCGCCCACCTCGGCCTCCCAAAGTGCTGGGATTACAGGCGTGAACCACTGAGCCCGGCCAATTTTTGTATTTTTAGTAGAGAGCAGCTCTCTCTTTTGGGGAGGCTTCGGGATATTTGATTAGTGGTCTTTGGGGGTGGGTGGGCTCTGTGGGGCTGCTTTTGATGCAACATAATCTCCTTTGCAGGTCACCTAACCCATTTGTGTCTTCCTCTACCTGTGCTCAGCCATGGCCAGTGAGAGCTCACCTCTGCTGGCCTACCGACTCCTGGGGGAGGAGGGGACTGCCCTCCCTCTCAATGGGGCCGGGGCTCCTGGAGGGGCATCTGCCCGGAAGCTGTCCACCTTCCTGGGTGTGGTGGTGCCCACTGTCCTGTCCATGTTCAGCATAGTTGTTTTTCTGAGGATTGGTGAGTGGGTTCTGGGGCGGGTGTGGACTGACTGTAGTATAGGAGGACATGATGGGGAGAGGCGGAGATGGGACTGGGATGAGAGTGGGAAGGGGGACCCAAGAGAAGTGGTTGGCTAAAGGGTTTGGGGAGGGGCTCCCTGTGGGCTTGCATTTAGCTCCACCCTGGAGCTCTGCAGACCCAGGGGGTGGGGGATATAGGGTGTGAGCCCCTGTGACCTGACTCGCTGCTCCTGCCTCAGGGTTCGTGGTGGGCCATGCTGGGCTGCTGCAGGCCCTGGCCATGCTGCTGGTTGCCTACTTCATCCTGGCGCTCACCGTCCTTTCTGTCTGTGCCATCGCCACCAATGGAGCCGTGCAGGGGGGCGGAGCCTACTGTATCCTCCAACATCAATGGACTGGGGTCTGGGCTGTTCTGCCTGCTCGGGAGGGTGTGGAAGGGGCCATTACCTTTGTTGGCTCAGGGGCGAGACAAGTGTTTTTCTTCATTCTTAAAATTTTTTGCCGGGCGTAGTGGCTCATGCCTGTAATCCCAGCACTTTGGGAGGCCGAGGCGGGCGGATCATGAGGTCAGGAGATCGAGACCATCCTGGCTAACACGGTGAAACCCTGTCTCTACTAAAAGTACAAAAAAAAAAAAAACATTAGCCAGGCGTGGTGGCGGACGCCTGTAGCCCCAGCTAGCGGGAGGCTGAGGTAGGAGAATGGTGTGAACCTGGGAGGCAGAGCTTGCAGTGAGCCAAGATGGTGCCATGCACTCCAGCCTGGGCGACAGAGCGTAACTCCGTCTCAAAAAAAAAAACAATTTTTTTATGCTGGGTGCGGTGGCTCATGCCTGTAATCCCAGCACTTTGGGAGGCTGAGGTGGGCAGATCACTTGAGGCCAGGAGTTCAAGACCAGCCTGGCCAACATGGTGAAAACCTGTCTCCACTAAAAATACAAAAATTAGTTGGGCATGCTGGCACTTGCCTGTGATTCCAGCTACTCGGGAGGCTGAGGCACGAGAATCGCTTGAACCTGGGAGGTGGAGGTTGCAGTGAGCCAAGATCGCATCACTGCACTCCAACCTGGGCAGCAGAGCAAGACACTGACTCCCAGACTGTAGTGCAGTGGCGCCATCATAGCTCACTGCGGTCTTGACTTCGTGGACTCAAGTGATCCTCCTGCCTCAGCCTCCTGAGTAGCTGGCACTATAGGCATGAACCACCACCCCTGTTTAATTTTTAAATTTTTTGTAGAGATGGAATCTTGCTATGTTTCCCAGGCTGGTCTTGAATTCCTGGCCTCAGGTGATCCTCTTGTCTCAGCCTCCCAAAACGCTGGGATTACAGGCGTCAGTCACTATGCCTGGCCTGGCAGGGCAAGTTTTAATAAATGTGCAGCAGGCAGGCTCGTATAATGAAGGAGATCAACATTGCCCTACATGTTAATGCCAATTTCTAGTCTAACAATCTCATCTGTTAGGCAGTGATTGTTTTACAGATGCAGAAACTGGCACTCAGAGGGTATGAGTGACTTGTGCAAAGCCACATGGCTGGGGCCTGGCTGCACTCAGGTTAAGTGCTTGGAGCTATGGCAACTTCCTCACGTCCATTTCAGTCTCTTTTCCCTTAATGCTTCCACTTTCAGTCATGATCAGTCGCACACTGGGGCCCGAGGTCGGGGGCAGCATTGGGCTCATGTTCTACCTGGCTAACGTCTGTGGCTGTGCCGTCTCCCTGCTGGGACTGGTGGAGTCTGTGCTTGACGTCTTCGGGGCCGGTCTGTGATCTGTCTGATCTGGGCAGTGCTGCGGGTTTGCAGGGTCTGGGAGTGTGGGATCATGAGGGAGAAGGTCCTCTACAGGAGAGGGGCAGACTGAGCCATTACCTTGGCTTTCTGGAGCTTCTGCTGTGTGGCCAGCATCGTGCAGGAGATGTGGACATCTCTGAGATTGTCCTTGCCTGCAGGGAGCTTGGATCTAATCGGAGAGACCAGGCTAAGATTCTTAAAATTGACAGAGACCACCAGGGAGAGAGCTAAGATGCTGGGATGGAGCTAAGAGGGAAGTGGGGAAGGTGGTCTCTCTGACAGCAGGTGGGTAGAGGGGGCTTGTCTTGCTTTGGGTCATGGTTGGGGCTGGGTACCTTCTTTTTTTTTATTTTTTATTTTTTTATTTTTGAGATGGAGTCTTGCTTTGTCACCCAGGCTGGAGTGCAGTGGTGCGATCTCCCCTCACTGCAACCTTTGCTTCCTGCGTTCAAGCGATTCTCCTGCCTCAGCCTCCTGAGTAGTTGGGATTACAGGCACTCACCCCCACGCCTGGCTAAAGATTGTATTTTCAGTAGCGACGGGATTTCACCGTGTTGGCCAGGCTAGTCTCGAACTCCTGACCTCAAGTGATCTACCTGCCTCAGCCCTCCCAAAGTGTTGGGATTACAGGTGTGAGCCCTGGCGCCCTGCCCCCCCCTTTTTTTTTCTTTTTTCTTGAGGCAAGGTCTTACTCTGTCACCCAGGCTACAGTGCAGTGGTACCATCTTGGCTCAATGTAACTTCTGCCTCCTGGGCTCAAGCGATTCTCCCACCTCAGCCTCCCAGTAGCTGGGACTACAGGCATGCCTCCCCACGCCTGGCAAATTTTTGCAGTTTTTGTGGAGTTGGGGTTTCACAATGTTGCCAAGGCTAGTTTTAAACTCCTGGACTCAAGTGATCCTCCCACCTCAGCCTCCCAAAGTGCTGGAATTATAGGCGTGAGCCGCCCACCATGCCCGGCTGGTGGGGTGCCTTAGGATCGGGCCTTCTAACTGTGTCCCTACCTCTTTCCAGATGCCACAGGGCCCAGTGGGCTCCGGGTCCTGCCCCAGGGCTACGGCTGGAACCTGCTGTATGGCTCCCTGCTGCTGGGCCTTGTGGGTGGGGTCTGCACCCTGGGAGCTGGCCTCTACGCCAGGGCCTCATTCCTCACATTCCTGCTGGTCTCCGGCTCCCTGGCCTCTGTGCTTATCAGCTTTGTGGCTGTGGGGCCAAGGGACATCCCCTTGACCCCTCGGCCTGGCCCCAATGGCTCCTCCCTGCCACCCCGGTTTGGCCACTTCACCGGCTTCAACAGCAGTACCCTGAAGGACAACTTGGCTGGTGAGCTGGGCACTGCCGTGGCAGGAATCTCGGGGCGAGGGGTGGGCAAGCATCAGGGCTGGGCCCTTAAAAATCTCTGGATGAGCACAGGTGTCAGAGGGAATGGTGGGCAGGAGGTCTGGACTGCAGAGCAGTGCAGTTTAATTCAGGCCTGTCTAGCATGTGTTTGGCCAGCGGGGCAGGAGGAAGCCCACAAAACAGTCCCTGCTTTAGAGGAACTTGTGTTCTAGCTGAGGAGAGACGTGCATTTAGGAATCAGTTAAATAGCACAGTAAGGCCCAGCATGACTTTAACAGATCAGGATCTCCCAGGAGTGGAGAGAGGGAGGCCTGACTATGGGCTGGGGAGGGCAGGAGCCAGGGAGCTGGAGGTAGCCTGAGATAGATGGGTGGGGGATTCAGTCAGGAGCCGGGAACAGAGAGGGAAAGCATCTCAGGGAAGAGCTGGAGACTGGGTGTGGGGGCTCATATCTGTAATCCCAGCATTCTGGGAGGCTGAGGCAGGAAGATCACCTGAGGTCAGGAGTTTGAGACCAGTCTGACCAACATGGTGAGACCCTCTCCCCGTCTCTACTAAAAATACAAAAATTAGCTGGGCACGCTGGCTTGCACCTGTAGTCCCAGATACTCAGGAAGCTGAGGGAGAATTGCTTGAACCTGGGAGGTGGAGGTTGCAGTGAACCGAGATTGCGCCATTGCACTCCAGCCTGGGTGACAGAGCGAGGTTCCATCTCCAAA